TGTGTGTGTGTGTGTGTGTGTGTGTGTGTGTGTGTGTGTGTGTGTGTACACGTAATATTACATAACACATATTCATCCTTAGGCTAGCAACCTTGTAGTTACTAATGCTGCGGTCAATCACAAGACATTGCTAAGGTGATCAACACAGACTAATCTTGTACATATATTTATATCATTTACGTAAAATTTTACTTACATACACATACAATTATGTGTATGTTATATGTATATATGTAAATATGTAAATATAACTATACACACACATACACACACACACATACATACATATATACAACTATCCAACTTTTTAAAGGGTGACTAGAGGTATTTAGATCTGTGATTTCACTGACGCAAGGATCTCTTAGGTATGGAAACTCTATCCTCCAATGAAGTTAGGGAACTCCTCTGTAATTTACAGTGCTTAGAAGTCTAGAGCACTGATAAATTAAGTGACTTGCCTGCGGTCACAGAATTAACATGCATCAGAGGCAGGACTTGAATCTAGGTGTTCCTGATTCCATGTCAAGTCCTTTAGCCACTATAACAAGCTGCCTCAACACAAAAATGCTACATATTAATAATGTCATACCTTCTTCTTCACTAGATGTTTTAGGACAACCATGAGGGAGATAAGTCAGCTGGACCTTACGATTTATTCCAGAAAAATGACCATACCTGAAAAATAAAAACAGTAGATTTAGAATATAGCTGTGGAAAGTCTAAAACACGTATATACAACTTTGATCCACCCCAATGTTGTAAAAATGAAAAATGATCAATAATAACTGAACTGATACAATTGCTAGGATGTGGACTTTAGCTGTTGTTCTAATACATAAAATTAATATTAAAAGAGCAAATAGGAAAATAATGCTCAATAATAAATGCTTAATATTTATATATTTCAGTCCTAAATATTATTCTTCTTCCCTTGTGTTTACAGCTTATTGGCTTTATCAAAGATTAAAATTACACTAAGTATTTTCTTTCTTTTCAGATATGGCTAATGTAGAAATTTCTTTTGCATGACTATACATAAGTGTAAGGGGCTTTTTGCTCCTGGCTTTCTCAAAGGATAAGGGAGAAAGAGCAGGAAGGGTGAGAATTTAGAACTGAAAATTAAAATTGAATTAAAAATAAAATTATGCTAAAAACATCCAGGCTAAAAGAATTAAAAATATAGCAGAAATATAAAGAATCACTATACTAGACTTTTTAAAAATTGCCATTGCCTTTATTTTCCCCAAAGTTAAAGAATTTTGAAAACGTGATATCAAATGACTTTTTAGGGTTAACCTAAGGTGTGTGAACCTGCTTTTGAAAAATATTTTGATAACTGTGTTTCAGTATAATTTGGTTTCTTTTTCTTAATCCTATACATTTTATTTTAGATATTTAAAAACATTAGTCTGAGCAGGAATCCAAAGGCTTCACCAGACTAGCAAAGAGGTCCATGATCTTCAATTCCTCTTTATTCTCTCAATCTATCAACTATGTTTTGCCTTCATTTTCCTCTCTAGTCAGTCTTCTGTGTTAGATCATTTCAATAATGCTCTGTCCTTCAAACAAGAATCCTTTGTCTCTTTAACCTTTTGTTTTTCCTGTCCTACTATCCTTAACCCTATCATTGTCCTCTCCCCATATCTACTCAAGTGGATGAACTAAAGAAAGTCATGAAACCAGGTTGCTGAGGGCCACTACAAATTTATATTCACCAACTGGGTCCTCACTGCTACAAGACAGTCTTGTAGTAATCTCTTACTAAAATTTTATTACATTCTCTATATATTTATTAGATTAAAGGTTTCTTGGAAAAAGATTTACGCATTTCTTTCTTTGTATTCCCAGCACCCTAAAGAGTACTTTGCCTGTGGTAGTAACTTTAAAAAAGTTTGTCTGGGGGCAGCTAGGTGATGTAGTGGATAGAGTACTGGCCCTGAAGTCAGGAGAACCTGAGTTCAAATCTAGCCTCAAACATTTGACACTTACTAGCTATGTGACCCTGGGCAAGTCACTTAACCCCATTGCCTAGCAAAAAACAAAAACAAACCAAAAAAAAGTTTGATAAAAGAGTATAAAGAAAATATAAAGCTAGATTTCTTGACATGGAAGCTGGAGACAATGCTAAGATCCCACATACTTCCTTAAGCAAAACCCTAAAAGTTCACATTAGACTAATTAAAGATCAAGAAACTGAATGAGATTTATAGGGACTTCTCCTATCCTACAACTGCACAAAAAGTCAGCCAGAAAACTGAGACCAATAACAAAGTAAGATCTGGTCAGCAAAGCTTGTGAAGGGTAACTTCCCTGCATGACAAAATAAGTGGCCTTGGAAGTCCTAAGAAGTAGCAGTGGGCAGTGACCAGCACTCACACTGGGGCACCTCAGGCCCAAAGATTTGGAGGTCGTTAATACTCTGTCTTGAGACACCAGAGAGGGCCCTGAAGAATCAGTGCTCTGAAGCTCAAAGATCTAAGAGGGCTGAACCTTGGAGATGGAGGTCATTTCAGGAATCTAAGGGACCCAGGTCCAGATAAAAGGAGGCCTACCAACCAACCCACCCAAAAACACAAGAGGAAGATCCCTGGCACAAAACTCCGATTAAAGGACTAAAGCTCAAGAGATCTATAAAGCAAAGTAAACATTAATCAGAATGAAGGTTAATGAATATCAGAAATTCCCCACAATAGATGGAAAATAACTGCATAACAACTACAAGTAGAGACTCAAAGAAAAAAAACGGATTTCCCACAAGGACTACACGAATATACAGAAGAATGAAATAAAAAATAAAATGAAATAAAATCTCTGAGGAAAGATGTGGAAAGAGAATAAATAATCTAGAAGAGAAAGTGGTAAATCTTACCAAGGTAACCAACTCTTTAAAAACTAGAATAAACCAAATAAAAATTAATGATTTCATTAGAAAGCAAAAAATAGTAGAAAATAATAAAATAAAATGTAAGGTATTTTATATGGAAAACAATCCAAAAAACAAGTCAAGGAGAGATAATATAAGAATCAAATGACTTCCTGAAAACAATAATACTTTTAAAAGTTTATATAATGTACTTGAAAAAATCATAAATTTCTGAAAACTGTTCAGATCTATTAGAACCAGAGTGCAAAATAAAGACAGAAAGTGTCCACAGGTTGCCTCCTGAAAGTAACCCTCAAAATAAAAAATTAAAATCCAAAGCTCTTATGAGAAAAAAAAAATATCTAAAACATCCAGAAAGAAGCAGTTCAAGAATCAAGGAAGCATAGTTCAGATCACATAAGACTTTGCAATTTCTTTCTTTCTTTTTTTTTTTGTAAATAAGGCAATTGGGGTTAAGTGACTTGCCCAGCATCACACAGCTAGTAAGTGACAATGTGTGGTCTGAGGCCAAATTTGAACTCGGGTCCTCCCGACTTTAGGGCTGGTGCTCTATCTACTGCGCCACCTAGCTGCCCCAGACTTAGCAATCTCTACTAAAAAACAGAGATCTTGGAATTCAATTTTACAAAAGGCAAAGAATATCTTTTCTTGCAAAGTTAAACATAATCCTACAGGAGGGAAAATGGAGGCTAAGTGAAAAAGAGGACTTCAAAGCATTTGAGAAAAAGTCTAGATCTGAGTAGGAAATATGAAATACAATCATAAGATCCAGACAAACCTAGAAAAGTAAATTTATTTGAGCAACTGGAAGGAGCTGTATGATGATATAGTGCAAATGTTCTAATGGGTTAAAAGAAACAAGTGTTATTTCAGAACCTTAATTTAATCTTCAAAGGGAATTCTGGGAGTTAACAGAAATACATAAAATTCAACAGGAAAATAGGCCAGGGATAGTAATACTGGGGGGAAAAACCTCCGAAGAACTAGAATCTAAGGGGTACTTTACATTGTTTCTTTCATAACTAAGGAATGTTTGAACAAATTGTAGGATGAAGGTAATAGAGTATTACTGTGCTTGCTGTAAGACTTGACGAAAGACACAATTTCAGAGAATCTAGGACAGTATGAACTGATGCAGAGTGAAATAAGCAAAATTAGGTAATATAAGGACAGCAATCAATGCAATGTAAAGAAACAACTTTGAAAGACTTAAGAACTCTAATCAATGCAAGGACAAACCCAAGGTTCTCCAAAGGATCTATGAAAATAGAGAGGAACACAAGGTGCTTTATATTGCTTGTTTTAAGAATTTTTTATCTTTCTTTCTCTCCATTTTCAAATGGGGAGGAGTAAGACAACAATAGTGCCAAATGCCAAAAAAGACCACTGTAACTTTTTTTTTAAATGCATAGAAGAAAACAGGAAGTTCAGAAGCAGAGATAAGACAGTTCTGAAAGTAAAATGCAGAATTTATTATGTACTTTAAAAAAGAATAAAATGGAAATTGATGGTTTCACATAGAATTCTCCTATGTTTTGTTATGTAGACACACGTTCTTTTTTTTGGTATTTAAATTCAAAATTTAAAAAGAAATTTTAAAAAGAAAAATTAAAGCCATCAGTGATGGGCAGATATCTTTAAACATAATAGTGATTGTGGGAATAAGATGAAGGTTTCAATATGTACAGCTTATAATGCCATCAAAAAGCATTCCAAAGTACAGATTTAATGAACAATTTTGTGCTTTGTTAATTTATTCATATTTTACCTAAGTAAAGTTTTCCTGAAAACTATATTGGATCGATCAGGATAAAACAACAAATTCATAGTGCAATATAAAGAATGCTGAATTTGGAGTCAGAGGCCTTAGGTGTGAATCCAGGCTGTCACTTACTACCAGTGCAATCTTGATCAAGTAACTTCTCTCTGGGCCTCAGTTTCCTTATTAGTAAAATGATGAGTTTGGACTAGCTGACTTTTTAAGATCTCCTCCAGCTCTGCATCTATGATTACATGAACCCAATAGTCATATTCTTCATTACATAAGAGAAAGCTCACACTTGAGTTCTTTCAGTTTCTTACATAAATTGGAAATGCTACTGAAGAAGTATTTCTACTTTAACACACCAACATTTTTAAGCAGGAAAATAATTTTATCATCACACACACACTCCCACACACATGGATGGAGAAAAAAAGACAAAAGGATAAGGCTGAGAAAGATTCTCTGAAATGCCTAGGAGCTACTAAAAAGCTTATAGGCTAATTCTAAAGATACTCACATCTCCAATACAGTTTTTAATTGTTCAAGCTTTGCTTTACTTTCTTCAATTTCAGAATCATTATTTTGCCCCAGTTCTATTAAAAGTTGTCGAGCAATATCCAACACTTCCTACAAAATTAATTAAGGCATAGAAATATTTATTTATGTAACAGTTGTTATATAAATTATAAGACCAGAAAAAAAAGGTCAAATAAACTTGCCTGTAATTGTTTTGGCTTTTTCAATTTTAATTTTCCAGTTTTATATCCATTATAGTTTTCAAAAAGATCAAAAAATCTTTTAAGAGAAGACAAAGAATATTATTAGTTGAACAACAAAAAAAGGTCTGTTTTCATTTGATAAAATGTATGCACCCTTGAATGCTCACCAAACTAATATTCAGGAAACTACTTTTAAGTTACTCTCTCATGATGGAAATCAAACGTCTTATAATATAGACTACACAAACAATTCCTAAACAGTCTCTAAACTTCGGTTATTATATAAAAAAAGCCTGCTTAACCAATTCTACCTGAATGCTCATGTTTTCATATTTTATTATCTCCCAACACTAGGAGAACAAGTTGTAGAAACTTCTATATCTGCTTATTTTATTTTGCGGAAGACTGAAGATTATAAGGAAAAAGAGTAAGTTCAACAGGACTCTGACAACAAAAGATGAAACTAAGTAGAGATTAGTTCTTAATCACTTGTGAATATTTTCCATTTTTTTCAGATTCTGGTAAAGATAAAAAAGTTTTAAATGGAATTTTCTTTTACAAATTGAAAAGTCCTTAATATAAACTATAGAAAATCTGTAGGAAAGGAAAAATCAGTCAACATAGCAAACTAAATCAGAGCTAAATGTCAATTACTTTCTTAAAGAGTCTTAAGTGTGGCAAATTATTTATCACTTACTTTTGGTGTCTCACCTCCATTTTCATTTTCTGCTTTGGCGTCCTATCCCCATGACGAATAACTGCTATTACACACCTGAGTTCCATCCTGAAAGAAACAAATACGTGCTAGGTTTCATGAATCTAAAATTTACATCACAAATTTCAGGTTTAAACAAGTTATGTACATATATTTAGAGCTATTAAATGTTAAAGTGGAAGATGATCCCCAACAAATCTGAAAAATATTACTTAACTATGGAAAATAAGACATTAAGCTATACAAGAATACTTTTGCACTTCTCCCAATGAAGTGATTTCTCAAGAAGAGGATGATCTTGAAAATCCACTTGTGTTTTAAAGTTAAAAAAAAATTTAGGATACCAGAAGACCTTGGATCACCATGAAATCTGTTGAACAGAGATTACAATGAAGTTAAAATGTATGAGGATAAAGAAAAGTTCTATTTGAGAATCTGCAATTTTACCTGAGTAGCAATAAAAAGTACTGGTAAGTTTAACAGTCAAAGAGAAAAGTTTTTCAAATGGTATATACCTAATTTTAAAAAGTCAAATTCATTCTATTATGTACTGGAACTGTTGTTGTTCTAGTCTGAAACTCTCTATCATCCCAACACCAACATAGTCAACACGCTCATGCCGAATATACTGTACTACAACAACAATAACAACAACAAAATATATACCTTTAGTTGGGGTACCTAATTTGTTCTACACCTCTACCTACCACCTATCCTTTGCTCTAAAACTACAGGAATACCAACTCATCAACTACGTATTTCCCAGCATTTTAGATTTTAACAATAATAGTTGATATTTATATAATGCTTAAAGGTTCAAAAAAAGTCTTATATACATAGTCATTTGAATATCAACTACGTGCTACAAATTATCATCATTATCCCCACTTTAAAGATGAGAACGGTGCTCAGAAGTTAAGTCTACTTATCCAGGGTCATCCAGCTAGTGTAACATTTGTCAAAGATCAGATTTTTAACCTAGATCTTCTTGACTCCAAATCCAAGTACTCTATTCTCTGTGCCATATTGTCATGGAACCACAGAATTTTGAATCTCCACATTTAAAAAAAACTCAGAGGGAAACTACTGCTTTTAACTTTGAAAAATTCATTTTCATTGTGACGATTCAAACTAATACTGGAGAAACAATAAATAATAAAAACTTACATAGTTCCAGATGTTGTTGGTACAATTGGGATATCTTCAGCTTCTAACGGTATTGACCAAGGGATCTGAAATTGTGGAGCAAGCTCTCGCATTATAATGTTGCTTTAAAAAAAAACAAAAACATAGACAAAATAAAACAATATATTTATATCTCAAAATTGGACCTAGAACAGTATAAAAATGTCAAGATTCTAAAGATTCTTATCAAATTGCCATTTAGAGAAAGTCTTCAAAATTTGAGAAATTTGCTCCTCAAAATCTTGTTCCTTACATACATAGTTTAAACTAGCTTAGTTTAAGATGTCTACTGGATATCCAGTTTGAGATTTCTGAAAGGGAGCTGGAGATGTGAGACTGGAGAAACTATATGGTATCTAAACAATCAGGAACTTTTACTTACTGTATTATAACACACATCTTATATGTTGTAAGGTTTGTGGGACAGGGGTGGAAGGAAGGGAATGCCTTTTTTATCTTTGCATCTCATATCTCAATCAATAAGCATGTGCTTATTGATTTAAAAAATAAGTGTTTATAAAACCAGTAAATATTTAATTAGGGTTATCTGATTCTTTATTATGACTTAGTTTATAAATCAGTGGTTACTTATTCTAAGTGTTAAAATAACACTAATAGTTCACCGTCAACTCATAAAAGCTACTCCAAATTTTGCAATGCTGTTGGTTTCATTCTTAGTCAAAATGGCATCTGAAAGTATTAAAAATAGAAAAAACTAACTCTGAGTAGTTTAAAAAGTACACCATATATTTTTTACCACTTGAAAATACTTAAACATTACATTTTGTAAATACCTTAACTTTTATGACAAGATTCAATAGCTTGATATCAAAGATGTGCTTCTTAACTAATTTTATCTGTTGTTAATTAAACATATTTAACCTCCAAATGAGAACCAGCATGGATTAGCACATAAAGGACTGGCCTAAGAGTCAGGAGGAAAGGGTTCAAGTTCTAGCTTTGAAACCCATTGCCTATGCAACTATGGGTGAGTCACCACCTCTGTTATCCAGGTAACTTTCTAAGACTCTAAGCTGCTCTCTGCATCAGTGAGAGGGAGTTCTCCATTAACTAATTAATTTGACAAGCATTATAAGATGCCTACTATTTTCCTTTCAGGCACTATACTGAGTGTTTTTGTTGTTGTTCACTTTGGATTTGATTGTGAGACATAGGAGATACTGGCAAAGGACTGTCCAACACGGTGTGCCCATATCAAAGAAGGCACTATGCTCTAGGAGTAAAGCAGAATTGCAGTACCTCAAAAGAAATGTGGAATATGCAAATTTAGAGACATCTCCACTTCAAATGTTCTCACGGACTATCTGTGCCTGACCTGTGGTAGAGCTTTCCAACCTTCAACTGGTCTGAACAGCCACAGTCAGACACACTATACCTTGACCTCCACAAAGTGATGTCATTCTGATCCTCTTGGAGCACGAAGAACAACAACCAACAACAACCAACCACACAGTGTTAGGGATACAAATATGAAAATGAAACATCTAACTCCAAAGTAGCCTATACTCTACTGGGGAGAGGGGGTGGGCAAACCTCGGGGAAGAGTGTAGAAAAACATAAACATGGATAAGAAAATATACCCAGAGTAATTTTTGAGGGGAAGACCCTAGCAAGTGGAAGGATTAGGTCAGGCTTCATATGAGAGTTAACATTTGAGGTCTTGAAGGAAGGTAGGGATTCTGTGAAGCAGAGGCGAAAAGGGCACTCCCATTTCAGAATGGGTGAGATAGGACTGGTTATCAACATTGCCTGCATAGAGATGATAATTGAACTTATGGAAACTCACTAAATGAAATCATTAAGCAAGAGAATTTTAGAAAAGGGAAGATCCAGGGCAAATTTTTGGGAGACACAGTTAGTGAGAATTATATGGATCTAAAGAGTTAGTGAAGGAAACTGAGGAATGGCCAAGATAACCAACAGAGAATAGTGTCACAAAAAAGCAGAGAGAGAAAGAGAGAGAGCACCCAGGAGGAAAAAATGTTCAACAATGTCAGAGAAGTCAAGAAAGGTAAAGACTGAAAAAGAGTCAACATATTTGTCAATTAAGAGATCATTGGTAACTTTAGAGAGAGACTAACTCATTTCACTAAAAGTGTAGGTCAGAAACTAAATTTAAGAGAGTTTAGAAGACTAAGAGTAGAATAGTTTTTTTTTTTTTCCCGAGGAGTTTAGTTGAGAAGGAAAAAAAAAGGCAACAGCCAGTCCAGATGAGAAATGATGAGCACCCGAATTAAGGTGGTAACCACAAATGGAAATATGGAACAAATGCAAAAGATACAGAACTACAATCAACAAAACTTGGCAACTGATTAAATGGCTCACAAGGAGAAGGGAAGAATAGTTATTATTGCAAGGTGGCTAAACTGGGTTTAGTAGAATCAGCATCTACTACTGTCCCTCTGGTAGGCTAGGCTAGGATTTGTTTTTTTCAACTAAAAGGCAAGGAAAGTGTCCCTGAAAATTGATTGGTCCATAAGGTTCTAGCCATTGATATGGATACCTAGTTGCCTGAGGGCACTGAAGAGAATAACCTATAAGGAGTCAGTGATCTTTAGAGGTGGTTCCAGGGCCAAGAAAATCACTATACCCTGAGCTGCTGAGAAGATAGTTCCCTCTATGGAAATGGTGGTGGTGAGGGGGGTGGGGGGTTGCACATATCTGAATCAAGTGCTATATCATTTCCATGTTGTGATTAAGTAAATTTTTTATTAACTAAAAAATGTTTTTTGGGGCACAGCTAAGTTGGCAGAGTGGAGGGGCCCGGAGTCAGAAGACTCCTCCTGAGTTCGCATCCTGCCTTAGACAATTACTAGCTATGTGATCATGGGCAAGTCACCTTAACTCTGTTTGCCTAAGTTTCCTCATCTATAAAATGAGTTGGAGAAGGAAATGGCAAACCACTCCTATATCTTTGCCAAGAAAACCCCAAGTGGGGTCATGAAGAGTTGGACACAACTGAAAAATAACTAAATAACAACAAACGTTCCCTGAATCTCTAAGTCTCAATCTTGAACAATCATACTAGCTTGAGGCAGGCCTGGCCTACAACAAATGGATAGCAGGAAGGATGATAGTACCTAAGACAGAAATAAGGAATTGGGTGGAAGTGAGGAGGGTTGTGAGAAAAGATAAAAATTATTTTGGATAAGCTGAGTTTAAGATACCTAAGTAGAAGTCTAATACACAGTTGGTAATGGACTAGGGTGGCATTCACAAGAGAGATGAAAGCTGGATATGAAAATTTTCAAGTCATTTGACTAGACCATAGCTGAATACATGGAAACTGATGAGATTATTAAGAAAACAGAGAAGTGGGCCCAGGACAAAGCTAAGGCAAGCTTTAGCTGCATTAAAAGAATCATAACTTACAGGAACAAAGAGGTGATAGTGTCTCTGTATACTTACATATAAGTGGCAAAATGTGTATGATCCTGCAAAGAAGACTGAGAAGTATCAAATAGGTAGAAAAGCAGGAGTGACATGAAAACTAAGAGGAGAGTAAGTCACCAGAAGAAAGGAGAAGTCAACAATGTCAAATGCTTTGAAGAGGTCAAGAATGGGGGAAAAAAAAAACAAACAAAAACCAAACATTGGATTTAACAAAACAGAGGTAACTGGTGGCTGGGAGAGGGCAGTTTTAATTGAGTGGTAAAGACAGAAGCCATATTGCAATGCGTTGAGAAATTCCTAGCTCAGTGTTCTTCACATAGTAGATACATAATTTTATTTAATTGAATTAAAAATTTTAAAGTATCAAAATAAAATGAATTATACTTCATATTAAATCTATACTGTATTAACTGAAATTTCATTATTAAAGGATCCCTTCTGTATCCTGCAGTATCTCAAAGTAACTATTATGAAGATCAATTATAATTGTACAGCATGCCAAAAATCATTCTTATTATTTGAGTTTTCTAGTTATTAGTTAATTGAATAAATGTCAGTATACTGTAACATTAGCTATGTTTAAGGGGGGAAAGGGATGAATGAAAATACAACACATTCTTACCCAAGTATTTTTGCACAGTCATCATAATATTTCATAGAATTCTTCACAAAACTGAAGCCATTGACATCACAGACATAGGATTGTCCATTGGCACGTAACAAATCAAAGCCACAAACCGTTTGCTATTAAAATTAAATTTAAAACTCTGAGCTCAAATGTTACAATTCTAATAATAAACAGAAACATTTTCATTAGTAGTAGATTCCTACTTTCATTTCTGTAAGTTCAAAATTTTGTGATAACATAACAAGCAGTGAATGCTCAGACATACTTCATAAAATTATTTACTTGCCATTTCAGGGTAAAAAAAATACTTACCTGCAACTTAGGTTAGCTAAATTCTTACTTTTTGATAATCCTTGTACACTGATAGATATAGAACAATGAACCTTAAAGCCTGTTTTGGCTAGCAAGATTCACAAAAAATTTAATTAGGAAATATTTTTAAATGTTTAGTGAAAGTTTTTTTTAAAGACATACTGAGTAATGGAGATCTTTTTGACCAGTCAAAAAGAGCAAGCTTTTAATTATTATCTGAAAAGAAATTTTTAGAGTGACAAATCTCAGGATAAGCAGCATTTAACAGAATCTTAAAGTTGGAATGGGCTTCAGAAGTCACTAGAGCCCACTACCTACTAAATCATTCCATTCCTCTTTCAGATAGAATTGACTTGCTAGTATGTTTTCTTATGTTATGCTGCAAAGTTATCACTTTGTATCTTCTAGCTTACTAGGGACAAACAGAATGAATCTAATACTTGCTCCACATGATAGCCCCTTAAAACACTTTTAGGTGGCTAATCATTTTCTTTCCCACTTCATCCCAGGTCACCTCTTCTCTAGAATAAATATTCTCAATTCCTTTAACCAATCCTCATATGAAATGATCTCCAGGCCTTTCAACTGCCTGCTGCTCAATGGCATAAAGAGTTATAGAATTTTAAAATCAGGAGGGAATTCAATGGCTATCTAGTCTAAACCAGAGAAAAAAGACTACAATAAGTGACCCGTCTAGCTTTTGCTTTAAGACCTCCAGGAAGGAGGTACTCACTACCTCCCCAGATAGCCTGTTCAACTTTTAGAAGTTTCAAGTTCTAGTTGTTAGGATGTTTGGTTGCTTTTTTTTTCTTCCTGACAACTACCCTAATTCTGCCTCTTTGCATATTCTACCTATTGCTCATAGTTCTGTCCTTTGAGGTCAAGTACAATTATAGTCTCTCTTTCAGGTGACAGCTCTTAAAATATTTGAAGACAGCTACCATGTTGCCCTGGAGTCTGATCTTCCATAAGCTAAATGCCCTCAGTTTCTTCATGTGAGAGTTCCATCCAAAGGGGAATAAACACCTGATATGATCATATGTCATTATTACCTCTGGGGAACTGAAGTAGACAGAAAAGCACGAGTTCATTCTGAAGGGAGGAATTTCCTGCTCTTCTACATTGAAGGATCAAATTTCATCCAAGTTTGGTAAGCTTTTAGTTAAAGCTTCTTTTGTAATCATAAGAATACAGGTATATTTATATAAAGCTACTATAGTTTGTCCTTAGCATAACAAATGTAAAATAGTTGCTGAAATGGCAGAATGAAAAATTTCAACTCCTTACAGTAAGGCTAATTATTTGCTTAGCAAACAGAAATTTTAGCCCAAATTCTACCTGAAGCATCACAAACACTAAGTAAGAAGGATCCAAGTTAATAAGGTTTCAATGAAAAAATAGAAAGAAGAAGAGGTAAAGGAATTGATAACATTAACAAGAGCTTTTGAAATATTAACAGGCATATTATTCATGGGTAAAGCATACATGTCTCAATTTATGTTATCATTTACAACTCTAAATACCCATTCCAATTAAAAAAATGTTATTACAAAATATTCATGAACTGAGATTCTACATATTTTCAAATGTTTCATTTCATTTTACCTTAAATGCAAGGCAGACTTTCCAAGCAATTAACTTCTCTCTAGCATTGAGGATAACAGGATATCTGACTTCCTTCCCTTCACTATCTCGTTCTACTTTGCCATCAAGTGCAGGGGATTTCCGTGCTTCAGCATGGGCATAATCTGGACCTACTGTGTATACCTTTAGAAAATATTAGGAAAAAAATCAGTGTATAACAATCTTATGGAAACAATCAACAACAAAAACTAGTGCAGAACAGCTGCTCCCTACACAACAGACATGTTTCTGAAAAATTACATGTAAATCAAATTTTATCACACACACACAAGGAAGCTTGCTATTTAAAGTAAAGTAACTTTAAAAAGATGTGACGCAAGGCAGCCCCTGATTTATACACCTAGGTTTCCTAAATAAACATACAAATGGCTAAATATACATATTTAAGGACAACACTCCAGATTTTCTCACTTTTCCCTCCTTCTGTTTCCCCTTCTGATAGGCTAGGCTTTAGGGAAGAACACATTTTCCTTCCTCTCCCCATTCCAACCATGGCTATCCAGCCAAGTGTGGAACATCCTGAGACCCTTATCCAATATCTTAACACCAAACCTGGAGGGTCCTTTGCCGTTTTTATATACTAACTTCTTCACTGTAGTTCCTATGGAAAACATAGACAGAATCAGTGGAAACCTGGGTTTTGCACCCTGCCACTGACATTAACTACCTACGTGACTATGAACAAATCTTTTTAACTTTTTTGAGCCTCAGTTACTTCACATATGTAAAAAGGAGATGACAGGATTACAAAATTTCAAAAATGGAAGAGACTTTACCTTCAGGTCATCCCATTCAATTTATACCTTTAAAAAAGACTCCCTCCCAATATACTCAATAAGTAGTTGTGAAGTTTTTGCACAAAGATTTCAAGTGAAGAATAAGTCAGTACCTCTGGAGGCAGCCCATTTCCTTTACAGATAGCTCTAACTGTTAAGATTTTTTTCCCCTGACATCAAGCCCAATTATGCCTCTTTACAACTTCTGCCTATTATGCCTATATCTGCCCTAAAGAGCCACTCAGAACAAGTACATGAGAGCCTTTCAAGTACTTGAAGACAGCTGTCATGTTACCCCTGAACCTTCTCTTCCCACAGATAACATCACTACTTTTTTCAATTGTTCCTCATATGGCATGAACTCAAGGTCTTTATTTTACTATCTGGCATTAAGGCAAAGTGCTGGGAAAATATACAGATCCAAAAATTTGTTAACTGTGATCTGAAGCCAAGTTACTTCAGTTTACCAATCTGTTAGCTGTATAAAAACAGTGCCTAGCAGAAATGTGATAATTCATTATATTAGAAATATTGTTTAGAAAAATGAACTCTTCTTTGATTCTCTTGGGTTATAGATTTAATTGTTAAACTGATATAATTAAAAAAAACTCTTTAGAGTATAGAAGAGTAACAGTTTGAAGTTAATTGGGTTTGAAAGTTAATTTTAGTTGAGATCTAGAAATTACAAAAGGAAAAAATTCAATCCCTTCCCATTATACCACACCACCTAACTTCTTAGTGAACTACAAGCAAAGTGATAAAACCATCTGTTAGCTGTGCTCATCCATCTTTTCAGGATGGTTTGTAAAGAGATTCTCAAGGATTTAGGCCTGGGGAAAGGGCACACCCTGTCAGCACTTAACCCAACTCCTTGGAGCTTTTCTGCCTGGGTGGAAAAATCAGTCATCTAGAATCTTAAGAGTACTTACCCCAGCACACTTTAAGCTAACCTGAGAGTAACAGGTGTGAATTCAAACTGGTAGTGCTATATGTATATTTCCTAGTATTGTTAATGTAAAATTAAATACATATCTATACTGTGAAACTTAAGAAATAAATTCTCTTGTAATTTAGATAGTGTTAGATTATAAACTCAGTTGTTAAAGAGTTATCTACAAGCTTCTATTTTTGTTAAAAGTATTTTATTTCATTCAGATTACAATAATGGGAAAAATATTCTTTATTGTTTTATCTGATAAGAAGTCTGACATGGTATAAGTTCTATGATGCTTAAAAAACTTGAGAGCTACAGAGGTAAAAAGAACTATTCACCTAGTTAGAAAGAGAAAGTTTACAAAACAGCTTATGTTTAGGAAGTAAGTTCCACTTAAATCTGTTCATAATTTTCTGTGTAAGGTAATTTGAAGATGTATTCAACTGAATTGAGGTCACCTGCCTGGAAATAGGTTTTGTTTCATGTTTCAAATCCATAGTATTGTTTATGATATTGTGCAGATATGGTATTAGGAATACAGTTTCTTTTCTAAACTGGATGCTGCTACATTATGAGCTGAACTATTTAAAGGAAAAGAAAATGTTTGAAAACTGTTAATATTTTGAAGTACTGTCAATTTAAGAAACCGGAAACTTCCAATTTGCTTATAGTAAAGAGGAGGTTTTATTGGCTTTCCACCTAGAAAACTAAATCCCCTCTCCCCACTGTAAACACTTCTTGATGGAGGAGGGTATTAATCAGGAATTTGTTTATAGTACAGGACTGTTTATTATGAATTATGAAGTTATGTCTGGAGTGGTCTATGCTGAAGTTATATTTTAAGCAACTTAGTCTTAAATTCCATTCTTAAATATTTATTTTTGTTTTAAGGGTTGAATTCTAAGAGACAGATTATGTGTCAGTCTGGAGATTTACTGCTATCATACAGTCACTATCTATGTGAACTTAGAGAATGCTTTACTTTATTAGATTCCATTAACTGCCTTTTTATATCAGGATAAATTTTAATCTGTTTTTGAGAAGGACTAAGAAAGGAATATTAAGTAAAATTTCTTTTGTGATTTTTTTAAGAAGGCCTTATAAATTTTATTTGCCAGCTAATTTATTGTAACAATATAAGAATAGTTTACATCCATCCCTAAGCATGATTAGTGAAACCTGCTAGCCAAGGTAAAATTTTGTGGGACTATAATTCATGATATTCTGAATCTGATTCCAGGTATGATCATCAAAAAATGCTATCGAGTCAATAATCCATAATGCCAGTACCCCTATGGACGCGCTCGCGAGTGAGAGAGAGAGAGAGAGAGAGAGAGAGAGAGAGAGAGAGAGAGAGAGAGAGAGAGAGAGAGAGAGAGTGTGTGTGTGTGTGTGTGTGTGTGTGTGTGTGTGTCTGAGTAAGAGACATCTATGAGCTGCAGGTGGAGCTTTATCTCATAGGGAAAGTTGGGAGACTGACTTTTGGCATGAGCTGAGGTAAGATTCTCCTGACTCCATTTCCACAGTATGACATTTCCTCTTGAACTGAAAGTTTCCTACCTAGCTGAGTCTAAGTCTGATTGTGATAATCTCGATACAACTGGCTACCTATATGATTCTTGCCTGGAATTGACATGAAGTTAGGGAAGCATTTTCCCCTTACCATAGCTATGTCTACATTTTCATTTTATGGCAAATTTCTATTCAAGGCAGGTGATCAGTGGAAGATAGGAACATATATTATTAGATCTTTATCTCATAGGCTAATATTGGAGCATATCTGAACTACTCTAATAAGATGCAGGTATATAAGAACTGAGTTATTCAGTCTAGAATTATAATCCTTTCGATATCCTAAACAACTAAGTGGATAGTACTTCGGTTTGTCATCTGCCTGCTACTAGTTATACATTCCTGTATAAGCTTAAGGTCCTTTAAATATCTCACAATGGTATGGCGATAATTAAGCAATTTTTTGTGGAAAAACAGGATATAATTCTATTGTTTAGTGAGGTTCACATCATATGTTTTCTGTTCTGTGTTAAAGAAAAAAAATTCAGTGCAATTAGTTATCGTAGGAGACAATCTTATATTACTTCAAAGAGACATCCAATTTTACTCATGGTTATTATTTAATGTGGGATTAACACTTGTATAGAGAGCATGCTCTGGAATACAAGCAAAATTACACGAGTCTTAAGAGGACTTGAGAGCAGTGGTCTATGTAGGTATAATACCTAGCGCATTTGAATAGTTAGTAATTGAACATGTTTTACTATAGACAACTCATTCGATACAATCTGGAATACATCCCATCATAGACTTTGGTTACAAAGGAAATAAAATAAGTGTCTCTTAGGTAAATTTATTTGTGACCTACCTACAAAGAGGGCTGCTACCTATATGCTTCTGTATAAGATTAAATCTTTAGCATCTCATCCTCCTAAGGGGGAATTAGCAGCTAAAAGTGAATAACTAGAGTAAAAAATGAAGTAAATAGCTAGAGTAAAATTTTTTTGAGAAAATAATAAGATTATACATGTCAAATGCAAATATTTCTAATGAGATACAAAGGCCTTGAGCATGTTCTAATAAATTCTAGGAATTGGGTTCAGAATTCTATATATGCAATTGTATTGTTCACCCTCTGTACAAATCAAGCAATCTAGAAGGACTGTTATCTAAATTTCCTAAATATATCAACATAACAATTTGCTAATTTACATCACAAGATAATTACAGGTAATAAACTAAAGTTTCATTCCTTTCTGGGACTTGAATCTGAGGTGAAGAATGAAACAGATGAAGAACAGAAGTTAAATGATGGTGGAGTCAATGCCAATTGAAAAGGCACTTTTAGTATTAGCTTACATACCTACATTTATAAATATCAAATTCATAACCAGAAAGATTCATTCTGCAAGTCAGACCCTCATAGATTCTTTTGGATTGTCCCTTCAGCTGGCAGTGTCAATAAAATGTCTGGTTTAGATAAGGGCAGAAGCAGCAAGGAACATGGGAAAATGTAAATTCTCGGGTCTAGAGGTTCCTAATTTGATGTTCTTATTAGAGCTATAAGATTTGAGTTCGCTCGGGGCAGCTAGGTGGCGCAGTGGATAGAGCTCCGGCCTTGGAGTCAGGAGGATCCGAGTTCAAATTCGGCCTTGGACATACACACTTACTAGCTGTGTGACCCTGGGCAAGTCACTTAACCCCATTGCCTAACCAAAAAAAAAAAAAAAAGATAGATTTGAGTTAGCTCTTACCACATGACCTGGTTATTGGCAAAGCAAACTGAATTAAATTGGATTGAGATCTATTTTGCAAGAGATTTTAACAGAAAAGGGGATCTCTGCAAGTGACCTGAACCAGAGAAGCAGATTCACTGTGACTAGGAAAAGTTTCCAGATGGACCACATTAAGAGCTGTTCTCAGAAACCAGACAGATATATGAGATGTCTGAACTGAAATGGAAAGTAGTAGTGGTTACTGAGAAAAAGACTGTTTACCCCTCATTTTCATTTCTCTCCATGTGCTGCTATTGTTCTTTGTAAGGCCTGCTTGCCAAAGCCCCCAATGGCTTCTGTCAATGCATGGTCAATCTCTCTACCTCTTTCTCTCACACTATTTCCTATCGTGTTAAAATACCTAAGTCTTATGGTTAAAAACCTTTGATTAAGTGTTTGTCATATCAGTCAGTGATTCAGTGAGGAAACTGTGTGTATCAATGAATCAAAGGGGGGAAGGAGGAGTGAGATAAATTAATTTTTAATATACCCATTGATTATTAACACTAATATGTAATATTCCCTTTTCTGTAGAAAGGTTGGATTAGAGAGAAGCCTTGCTAAACAATGTCAGAAGCATTCTAGTTCTGCTTCAGGCATCGGGGCAGGACCCCGCTTGGGAAACCAGATTTCTGTTTAGGGTATAAACAGAATCCAGTCTGTGTGAGTTTTCTCCCTGTCTTTGATTCTCTTCACTAGAGTTTTAGGGCTCATGAAGGAGAAACCAAACCAGAGAGAACTTGGTCAGGGTGACCATATTGCTGAAGGGAACTCAAAAATCATGACCAGGCCACATTCTCAGCTGATCTCCCTCCTTCAACAATGTGGTAATTGGAAGGGACTGGAAGTTTCCAATCCATCTCCTCATTAAATGCACACCAATCAAGGTTGAATTTCACTTGTCAAGGAAGTTCTCTGTCAGAAGGTACAGACCTAATTTAAGGTGTTTCAGAGTTTCCCTTGGCATTTTTGGTTACTGAAACCACAGATCATCAATTTATTGATTATTAGCTAGCTCAGTTAATAAACTGATTATTAATACCTGGAAACTCTGTCTCTAAGCATGATATCCCTACCTAATGATGTGCTTCCCCAATGTCTACAAACATGCTCATCCTTAAAACAAAAAACCCCTCTCTTAATATGACCATCTCTGATAGCTGATATCCTATTTCTTCTTTCCTTTGTAGTTAAACTCCTTGAGAAAGCTGCCTATATATATATATGTATAGGTATATGTATATATACCTAGTACTCACTCTCTGCTAAATCCTCTACAATCTGGCTTCCAAACTCATCATTCAACTAAAATTGCCCTCTTCAAAGTTAATTCTCTTAACTGCATTTAAGGGGCCTTAATTGAAGGGCTATAATTAAGAGTCCTTAATGGCCTCTTCTTAATCTTCATTCTTCCTGATCTCTCTGCAACATTTAATACTACTGATCTTCTAGAAAATCCTCCTGCTCTTTTGGTTTTTAATGGCACTTCTCTTGCCTGCTTCTTCACCTACCTGTCTGATTGTTTTTCTTCTCAATATCCTTTGCTGAATCTTCATCAAGATCATGCTCACCTACTGTGGGTGTCCTTTATGTGTCTATCCTGGGCCCTCTCTTCTCCCTCTATATTATTTTGGTGATCTCATAAACTCTCATCAGTTTAATTTTCATCTCTAGGTTGACGACTGCCAGATTTATATATCAAGTCCTAATCTCCTGAGCTCTAGTCTTGAATCACCCATTGCTTCTTGGACATCTTGAGCTTGGCTGTCCCATAGACATCTCAAATTCAACACGTCCAAAACAGAACTTTCTCCCTAGGCCTGGAATGCTCTTCCTCCTTACCTCTGTGCCTCCTTGTTTCCCTCAAGATTTGACTCAAATCTTACCTTCTACAGAAGGCCTTTCCCTGCTCCCAATATTGTAGACCAGGGCTTCTTAAACTTTTTCCACTTCAGATTCCTTTAGCACTTCTTAAACTGTGAGTCTCGACCCCATGTGGTGTCCCACAGTTTAAGACAAAGATGCATTTATGGGGTCCCCAAGCTGAAAGTATGAATGCATTTTCTTCACAGAGACATTGTTATATATGTTGGTTACATTTTATCCATTAGCAGAGTATTATAAACACATCAGTTAAAGTATAAATTTTTGTGGGTTACACTGATAAACTAACCACAATATAATAACACTGTTTCTGTGGGAGAAGTTCCAAAGAATTTAGCTAAAAAAAAAAAACCTTTTGGTATATTTGTTGTGCATAGTTTAGATGTTGCATATAATAAACCTTAACTTGTCTTACGCAAAAATGTATTTTTATATAAAAAAGTGAAAAATCTCTATATGAAAAACCCTTTATACAAAACATTGACAGAATACGATTTACTTTAAAAAAAAAAGGAATTCTTTGATTTATAATTTAACAAACATTGAAAATATGATTTGATTTAAATTCAATTTGTAGAACTTAGGTAAAATTAAGGGCTCATAAACTTTAAATTCTGATGCTAGATATGTAAATATGTTCATATGACGCAAAAGAAAAATTATAAAGGTTTATATCATTTGACAATTTTTTAAAATGCCATAATAATGCTACCCATCTGACAGTGCAGTGAATTCAAAGTACAAAATAAGATATACATTTTTAGACATGGCAGATGTGTGAATTTGTTTTGCTTCACTTGTCTATTTGTTACAAGCAGTGTGTGTATATTTTTTAAGTTGGGGGATCAGAGAAGATAGTTATAGGGTTGCGAAAAAAAGGTCATTAAAGCATTTTTCTTAAAAAATGTACAGAAACAGACAAGCAGAATAAATTTGAAAGTACCATAATGAATTTATAATATACTTAAAAAACGTGCTGGACATAATAGAAATTTGTATTTTCACATATAATCCTCTTTTTTTGTTCTACTTTGTATATAAGCATGTTTTTTTCCTGTGTTCAATTAAATTCAGAATTCTTTGAAAAAGCTACAGTGCTGAAAAATTCACTTTGTAATCATATTTGATCCTTAAGCAACAAGTTAGGTTTATGCGCCCAAATGTTCACATTAATGATACTTCCTCTAGTGGTTAATTTATGAGATATAGCCTAATTCTTAAAGCACTAAGATCAAGGTACAATACTAACCCATATTTCTATCAGTCAGTCTTACCTTGACATCAGTGCCATCTGTAGGCATGAACTCCTCATAAATGTATGAGCCTGTTTTTCTCACGCAGCTTTCTGGGGAGTAAACACTACTTCTGCTTCCAATCTGAAATGAAAATTTTCTATCAAATACACAAACTTCTGGAAGAGTGCTTTCCATTTGTTCTAGCTCAATAGTCTCTCTTTTTCTTCTTACAGTTTTTTAAAAAGCTTTTTCAAGTATCAATATTTGGTACATAAAAATATTAAGCTGTGATAAATTTAAATACTATCCAGATTTTATCAGAGTAATTTATTAAGATATCAGTTTTATTAATTTCTCACAGAACTAAGTTTTATAACTTTAGTTTATTTTATAATTTTATTATATGGTATAGAATTGCAGTAGGTCACTTAAAAAAACATATAATAGTTATACATCCAAACTCCAAAAATATTTAACTGAGATATCAGAATCTTACCTTCCTAAAGAGCCTTTGGCTTCCACCTCCAGCAGATGTTGGATAATAAATGTAAACATTGTGATCCTCAGCACTGAGGGGTTTTTCTACAAATGGCTTTTGGAAAACTTCTCCATTTACTTCTACTTGATCCTCCCCTTCAATTAGATTGCATTCTATAATACCAAAGATAAAATAAGGATACTTTACATTTTAGTAAAATGCTTTCATACACATGATCTCATTTAATACTCATTTAATTAAATCCTCATTTAATCCAACCATCCTGGGAGGTCAAGTAATCTGTGATCCTCATTTTACAGATGAGGAAACTGAGATTCAAAGAAATTATGTGTCATAAAGGGAATAGATATAATAGAGAAAGGATTAAAACCCAGTTCTCTTTCAGCTACACCATACTACTTATTAATAAAGTAACACACGTGTGTGCTCACAAAAACAAAACAAAAAAACTTACCTGTATAGATTCCACAGAACTGAAATTGGGTTTTTGAAAAAATTTCAGGTTAACATAGTAATGAAATACTCAATTGCTATGCTTAATAAGCAAAATATCAGGTTACATACATATTAGAAAACATTATAAACTTAAATGAAGTAGCTATTGGTCTGTTCATTTTAGCTAAAAAAATGCATACAGAAATATACACTTGATGATGCAATACTCCCATCAGAAATAGTTTTGGTTGTTGTACCTTACTAAAGGGAAATCAAGAGAGACAAATGCAGTGAAAGTATTTAGCACCCTACCATGACCTTTTTTGTCCAAAGAGAGTTGGATACAAGAGTTACTCCAAACGAAAGCGCAAACCCATCTCAGGAAATGGCTACCCTTTGACAAATACAAGGGACTGCTAATCTAGGATATCACACAAAACAGTACTATTTAGCTAGAAAAATTAAAAAAACACCAATGCCCCCCTCCCCTCCTACAAGTCTATCAATTAAGAGGTATCATTTGAGTCCTCTAAATGACTGAAACAATTTAGAACTCGACAAAATCCTAAGTATAACAAAGTATCTCAAGAGAAAAATGTAATAAAGTTTTTATTGCAGTAAAAGACTACAAAACTTCTAATTGAATCCTTTTACTATGTGACTTGTTTTTTTCCCCCCACTCTTCTTTGTGTCTATTTCACTGTTTTATACTAAATAACATTCTTAAAGTCCCAGGAAATTAAAAAAAAACACTCAGTAAAGTTTAATTTTAAATACTACAGTTGGCTTTTATTCTCAAAAAAGAAAAAATCTGAAGTTTTGGAAGGGGATTCAAATAACAGTTGGAGCTTAATTAGTGGAATGGAATATGTGGGTGGGAAGTACAAATAACCAAGTTGTAAATAAGTGGCAAAGTACCCTCTGAGGAAACCACAAGTCTGTTAGTTAAGTAGAACACTTGGGTAAATCTTCACCCCTTCAAGTGGAAGAAAAATAGTTGTGATTTACAGTGACAGGCATTGCTCTATGGTGGAATTACGTGCTTAGCAGAAGAACTAGGGCATTCTGGAGGGTTCCCACCCGCAGGACTAACTGTTGCTGCCCTTTACGAGCAACTCAAAGTCTACTGCTGATCATTATCCAGTGCCTTCCTTGAGGACCATCACATCTTCAAATCTACTGTGGGCATGGAAATGGGAAATTAAGCAGAGTTACTGACTTCTGCTCTAAATAAATTCTCCCCACGTCAAACAACTATTTTAGACTTGAAGGAAGATTGGTTTGAATGGCTGAATTCTCCTGTGACCAGATCAACTGCTGCAGCACAGTGAGTTTAAGTTAAGTGACAATTTGCTTATGACAAAATTCTCTTACCTTGGGGATTATTTGGATCTCGGTTTAAAATTGCATAACGAGGAAGTAAAATACCTTCAGCTTGAAGAATACTATACACTTCTCTCCTAAGGAAAAGGGAAAAATACTTTTATATTTTAATAAGCTCAACAGTACTAATAATAATCTGTTGCTTAATGGAAAAACCATCAGTAAGCTATCTTCTCTGAGATTTTGATAAATACCATGAATATTATCATTATTAGTTTGAAGAGAGAGTACTTTTAGACAGTTAAGTTTTAACTTAAAAACTAAGGGAAGTTAAAAAAAAAGGAAAGCAAGGTACTGGTAAAGTGGAAAGAGTATCAAAGTAGGATTTTAGTCAAAATCAACTAGTTCAAATTTTTTTTATCTTTTGTTGAGGCTAAATATAAATTAATAATTATTAAAATACAGGTTTTTTATTATTAAAAATAACTGTCCTAAGTTCTACTATAACAGGAAAAGTCGCAGAACTATAGTTAGGTTTATTTAAGAGATTTAGAGATAGAAGGGGTCTTTTTTGTTGTTGAGTCATTTCAGTCATGTCCTACCCTTCTTGATCCCATCTGGGTTTTTCTTGGCAGATACTAGAGTAGTCTGCCATTTCCTTCTCCAGTTCATTTTACAGACAAGGAAATCAGACAAACAGGGTTAAGTGACTTGCTCAAGGTCACAGATGGTAAATGTCTGAGGCCAGATTTGAACTCAGGTCCTCCTGACTCCAGGGCCAATACTCTATCCCCTGTACTACCCAGATGCCTACTAAGAAAGGATTTCAGAGATCATTTGGCCCAATCCCCAACAGGTACAGTAACTTATTCAAGATCATACAGAGTAGTAAGCAGCAGAAATGCAATCAGAACCCAGTAACTTTGCAGAACCAATATACTCCCTCTCAGAAAGGACCTCAGAAACCATTTAGTCTGTTCTTATTTTACAAATGAGGAAACTAAGGCCCACTGCTTCTATAATGGAGATCACATGATATACACATGAACTGCAAGGGTAAATCCAAGCCTATCACAGAAGCAGAACCTCCAAGTCACAAGTGACCTCAGAGAACATCAAGTCCAACCCTGATCTGAAGCCTAAATCACCTCATACAGGTTTTCTGAGATTGTCAATCAAGTCTCTGCTTTTGATGCTCAATACATTCTCAGCTCCCGCGGTGGTCTCTTCCCTGTGATGGGAATGCTTCATGAGGGTGAAGCAATAAACTCCTTCAAGAGTTTTCCTTTCTGGAGGGCTCAGAACTTCCCAGGCTCATTTTTCATCAATGGCTCTGCTTGGTTTTAACTCCATGAACATCATGCCCCCCACTTTGGGTAACCCTTGGGGGCCCTCTCCACCCTTCAGTTTTATTCTGTATATTATCTTCTCCCATTAGATTGTGTGCTCCTTGAGGGCAGAGACTAACTTCTTTTTTTATTTGTAAACCTAAGGCTTACTACATTGCCTGGCACATAGTGGACCCTTAATAAATGTTTACTGAAATGAACTGCCTGAAGATCACTTGTGACATGGAACTCATCTACAATACAGCCTATTCTACTTTTACATAGCTCTAATCCTTAGGAATTTTTCCCTGATAATGAGGGGTTAAATTTGCCTCTATACGTACATTGTGTCTAATCCAATGTTTTAGTTCTGTCCTTTGGGGATAAGCAGAAAAAAAACAGTTCAGATATCCCCTGAATCTTACCTTCTCCAAACTGAAGTTCCCTAATTTCTTAAATGAATGGCATAGACTCCAGTTCTCTCTTGAACTTTTTTTTTTAAGGAAAGTAAGAGGGACAGAAGGATACAACGGGAAATGTGGGTGACATAAAAAACAAAAGGAAATCTACAAAAACTTACTTTTTTTTTAGTCTAGCTTAGGGTGCCCCCCACTTAATAGTATTTTAATTTTTTCCAATTACATGTAAAGATAGTTTTCAACATTCATTTTATAGGATTTTGAGTTCCACATTTTTTCTCCCTCTCCTCTCCTTTCCTCCCCTCCCCCTTCCCTGAGGCAGCAAGCAATCAGATACAGATCATACACATACAATCATGTTAAACATATTTCCACATTAGTCATGTTGTGAATGAAGAATCAGTACAAAAGGGTAAAACCAGAGAAAGAAAAAAACCAAAAACAGCAAAAAAGTGAAAACAGTATGCTTTGATCTGTATTCAGATTCCATAGTTCTTTCTCTGGATGTGGATAGCATTTTCTATCATGAGTCTTTTGGAACTGGCTTGGATCATTGTATTGCTGAGAAGAGCTAAGTCTGCCATAGTTAATCATCACATAATCTTGCTGTTACTGCATACAATGTTCTTCTGATTCTGCTCACTTATTCAGTATCAGTTCATGTAAGTCTTTCCAGGTTTTTCTGAAATCCACCTGCTCATAATTTCTTACTAGCTCAGGCTTTCTCAAGCTGAAGAAGAAAGAAATTCTGCCCTTCTGTTATTTCTCCTCCTCTATTTACTGAGGACCTACTATGTGCAACTCACTATGCCAGCTACTTGGGACGCAAGGATAGGGCCTAGAACCATGGCTGGCATATATAGTAGGTGCACCCTAAGGACCATGGGCCCCTTTCTATATGACTTGAAAAACTTGACTTTTAAAAAAGGGAAGTGATCTGATTATTAAAAATCATACCAACGGGGGAAAAAAAAACCCACCACTGGAAGAGAAATCAATCACGTATTATTCAGAGCAATGGCTAAGGGTTGAATTCTTAACCAAAAACATAGAGATAATCACAAATGATAAAACAGATTATTTTGATTACAAGAAATTGAAAGGTTTCTGAATGAATAAAATTAATGGAGCTAACAGAAGAGAAGAGGTTGTTTAGGGGGAAAAATGTATGGTCATTTATCTATGATAAGGGGCTGATATCCAATTATATATGAAACTAACAGAAATATATAAAATCCAAAGTTATCTTCAATAGGTAAGTGGTGAAAAGACATTAACAAACAGTTCTCAAAAGATCAACGGCAAACTATTTACAACTATACAAAAGAATGCACCAAATAGCTAATGAAAACTAGAACAACTCAGTATTTCCCCTCACAACAAGCAAAGTGGCAAAGATAATAAAAGATGGAAATAGTCAATGTTGGAGGGGTTGTAGAAAGAGAAGTACACTAATGTAATCTTGGAGCTGTGAACTACTCCAACCACTCTGGAAAGCAATGTGGAATTATCTAAAGTGACTAAAATGTTCATACATTTTATGTATGAACCTTGACCCCGAAATTCTATATACACCAAAAAAGGCAATGATAAAAAGGAAGGCTCCAATATATACTAAAATGTTTACAGAAGCATTTTATGTATATTCACATGCCTCCCAGTGTTATTGTGAGGACCAACCCAATGACATAATAATTGTAAGCTCTCAGAAACATCCCTGGCACATGGTAAGTGCTATTAATTATTGTTAGCTAGCTATTATTGACGATAAATATAAAGAATACATAGAAGAATGGGAAGGCCTGGCCTTTTCTCTACAAAGTGAAGTAAGCAAAACCATGGAAATAATGCAAGGATAATGCATATTATAGAAGGATAATGCAAACAAATATTAACAACATTAACAAAAGAAACTGAATGAAGTGAAATACTTACTGACTCCAAGCCTAATACCAAATAAAAGAGATATGAGAAAATATCTCACCCTGTTTCTATACTGAAGAGGGGACTTTGGACGTGGAAGACTGTCCACGTTGCCAAACTTTTCTGACATGTTGATAAATTTGAAAGGTTTCCCCCTCCTCTTTTTCTAAGGAAAAAAAAACCATTAAAAATGATCCTCCATGCCCATTTTGAAAATCACCACGTTTCTACTAGTCCTGAGGCAACTCTGCTCTTTATCAGGATTTCTCAAATATCAAATATAAGAGGATCAGCAATGATATCAACAAGTTGTTGCAGGATTGTATCACATAGTTTGTTTGCTTGTTTTTTCCAGCTGGTGACAAAGCCACTAAGAGCATATACTCTCTTATCATTGCTTCACTTATTTTTGGATTCAAATCCCTCACTATTTACATTCTATCATTTCTGGTCTAAAGATTATTCTCTATGGTAAAGAAAAAAAAGAGTAAAACAGTTAATAATACTTAACTAATTTAAGTTAATACTAACTTAATAGTTCTACTTTCCCCAATGGAGAATGGAATCATAATAGCACTAACAGGGCTGTTGTGAGGATCAAATGAAATAATGCTTGTAAAGTGCATAGCACAATGCCTGGCACATAGTAGGGACTTAATAATCAATATCAATCAATGAACATTTATTAAGAACTTACTATGTATCAGGCACTGTGCTAAGCACTGGGGATACAAAAAGAAACAAAAGACAAAGGCAAAAAGCCTGCCCTCAAGGAGCTTAAGATCTAATGGGTAAGGCAATATGCAAACAAATATATACAATGCAAGCTATATAAAGGATAAATAGGAAATAATCAAGAAGTAAAACACTGGAATTAAAAGGCATTAGGGAAACCTTCCTGTAGAAACTGAGATTTTAGTTGAGATTTAAAGGAAGCAAGAAGAGTAAATAGATTGAAAGAGGAAAAGCATTCCAGAGACAGAGAACAGCCAGAGAAAATACCTAGACTGGAAAGGGAAGAGGGGGCTAGGTTATGAAGAGCTTTGAAAGATAAACAGAGTATTGTGTGTTTGCTCCTGGAGACAACAGGAATATCCTGGAGTTCACTGAAGGTGTATGGGGCCTGGGGTGGGGGGGGACAGGACAGAAAAGGGCAGTGTGACATGATCAGACCTGTGTTTTACAAAAATAACTTTACATAGCTGAATAGAAACTAGACTGGAGTGGGGAGAAATTTTAGGCAGGCAAAACCACCACAGGTTATTGGAATAATCAAGGCATGGGCCTACACTAGAGTGGTAGCAGTGTCAGAGGAGAGAAAGGGATGTATTTGAGAAATGTTGCAAAGATGAAACTGACCGGCCTTAGCAACATATTGGATATGAGGGGTGAGAGAGAATGAGGAATCCAGGATGACTCCTAGGTTGTGAGCCCGAGGGACTGGGAGGACAGTGTTGCCCTCAACAGTGATAGGGAAAATAGGAGGGAGAGATGGTTTAGGGGGAAAGATAATGTTCTGTTTTGGATATATTGAGTTTAAGATGTCTACTGAACATCTAGATCAAGATGTCTGAAAGGCAGTTGATATGAATTGGAGGTCAATGGAGACATTGGGGCAGGAAAGGTAGATTTGAGAATCATCAGCATAAAGACAGTAATTAAGTCTATGGGAGCTGATGAGATCCCCAAGTGAAGTAATATAGAGGGACAAAAGGGCCCAGGCCAGAACCTTGAGGAACATCTATTCTTAAGAGGACACGATCTGGAGGAGAATTCAGTAAAGGAGACAGAGAAGGAAACAGGTAGAAGAAAAACTGGGAAAAAGTAGGATCCTGAAAACCTAGAGAGAAGAAAATTACAAAGGAGGAGAGAGTGATCAACAGTGTCAAAAATTGCAGAGAAATCAAAGAGAATGAGAGCTGAGAAAAGGCCATTGGAGTTAGTAACTAAGAGATTATTAGTAACTTTGGAGAGAGCAGTTTCAGTGGAATAAGGTAGGAAGCCAAATTGTAAGAGGTTAAGAGAGGAAGAGAAAAGAGAGCAGGGGCAGTTATTGTAGATGGCCATTTCGAGGAGTTAAGCTACAAAGAGCAGAAAAGAAATAGGATGATAGTTACCAGGGAAAGAAGGATCAAGTGAGATTTTTAAGGATAAGGGAAACATGGGCATATTTGTAGGCAACAGGAAATCAATCAGCAGAGAGGGAGAGAATGAAAATAACTGAAAGAGTGGAGATGACAGAGGGAGCAATCTGTTGGAAGAGATGGGATGGAACAGGATCACTTCAACAAGTTGAGTGGTTAACTTTGGTAAGGAGTAAGGCCATTCCACCATGCTAAACGAGTGAAGGAGGACAAAGTGGCAGAAGGTACTTGAGTGATACGGGATGAGGGGGCAAGGAGGAGTTCACAGCAAATGGTCTAAATGTTTTCTGTAAAATAGAGGGGGAGAGGAAGCCATAAGAAGTTTGAAGAGGGATGAACAGATTTTGAAAAGCTGCTTGCAGAGTGGGATAGTGAGTTGATAAGGGAGATATAGTAGGATTATCTAGGCGCAGTGAGGGCCCAATTGAGTAAATTTGCGGAAGACCCAGTCATAAGTGCTGTATGATTTTCTCCACTTTTGTTGAGCAGCACCTGTGTAAGCACAAAAGTGATGAATGGTAGGAGTGAATTAAGGCTTAGGCTTTGTTTAAGCATAATCAGCAACATGATAAGGGTGCTAGGGATTCAAGAGAGAAAGACAAGTATAGAGTTGAATTGGTTCACTAAGGAGTCAAAATAAGGGTAGAAAAGAGAGTGGCTGGTGCAGGGGTGTTAGCTTGGGAGAGAACTAAGGAGTCAAGGGATTGCAGGTCACAGTGCAGATGAAGAGTAGGGATATGTAAGGGAAGGCAGAGGGAGAAGTGAAAAGCCTCTGATGAGAGGATTTCAGAATTCCTGAACATGGAGCATTTCAGAATTCCTGAACATGGAGATCAGGTATGACCATCTTTGTGTGTGGTTTAAGTGCAGTAGAGGAATAGCTCATGGGAAGTGAGTAGGTTGAGGAATTGAGCAGTTAGGATGAATCAATATGTATGTTGAAGTACCCTGGCATGAGGGCAGGAATAAGGGAAGACAGAAAAATTGTAAGCCAGGTATCAAACTCATTGAGGAAAGAAGGGGAGTCACCTGGTGTGTGTATGGAGGGAGGGAAGGTCTGTAGACAACAGCTATCACCATTTTATTTGGGTAGTAGGCATGAATACCATGCACTTCAAAGGAAGAGAGGTTAACCTGAGTGAAGTAAAAAGGAAAAGTGGCAAGGTTATTTCAACTCCCCTGCTTCAACCAGTGAGCCAAGGAGAATGAGTGAAGGTTCAGGCAGTACTGGAAAGAGGCTTTTTCATCAGAAGAAAGCTAGGTTTCAGTAAGAGCTAGGAGGTGGAACGAATAGAACAGAATTAAGAAGAAAGGAAATTTGTTGCCTAAGGAATGAACATTCCAGAGGGCACAGTGGAAGGGCATGCCTAGGTGGAGTTGGGATGAAACTCTGGGGTAGGAAGGTTGAATGGGGATGAGAATGAGGAATTAGGTGGTAGGGGTATGGAATGAGGTTTGGATGATGATCTGCATGACTTCAGAGTCACTGAAATGAGAAGGGTATGACCAGGTTTGAGAATGTCCATCATTGAATGGAGGGAATCACTCTTCTACCCTCAAAGGACAAGTACAGCTGGAGATGGGCCCTGAAGTCAAAGGAAAGGTTGTTCTTTTTTGCACTGGAGGTTTGCATGACCTAGCTGGGAGATTGGGAGATGGAAGATGTCTTGTTCTGGTACAGACGGAAGATGCCTGACCTGGCCCCTAGCAGCTTTTCCTCAGGGGCCATGCTGTGCTCAGAAGGAGATGAAAGGCTCAGGATGCCAGTGCACCAACGTCTAAGGTCTTCTCACCTGAGGAGGTTGGCTACAAGGTGGCAGGAAGAAGTGGGAGACTCCTCATGAAGATGAAAGATGCCCAATCTGGCTCCTAGGAGTCATTCTTCAAGGGACACACTGTACCCTAGCTTATTTCCCTCTCTTCTTTCCCTCGCTATTTCCAAAGATTTACTTCTTATCCCCAACATAGATAAAAGCACTCTTTGCTTGTTCTTATTATTTTTCAGAAGCCCTGGGTGATAGGAGCCCTTGCTCCTATCCTGCATCACCAACTGCCATTCTGAATTGAATGTTCCATTTGCATCTTAAACTCAATATTTTGAAAAGAGAATTCATTATCCCTATCCCTCCCCCCCCCCATCTTTTTCAGGTACATTTGCAACCTCAGTATCATCCTGGACTATCTATTCTCACTCACCCTACAAACCCAATCTGTTGAAAAATCTTGCCATTTCTTCCTATAGATCATTTTTCTTACACATTCCCTTATCTCAACATGGCTACCAGTCTAAGTCAGGCCCTCACCATCTCTTATCTGGACTATTGCAATAACCTCTTAAATGGTCTCCCTGCCTCACTCTATTCTTTGCATAGCAGCCAAACTGATCTTAATAAAGTACATATCTGACCATGCCATTCCCCCTATTAAAATCCAGTGCCTATTATCTCTAGGATAAAATAAAAACTCCTCTGGCATCTTTACAGTCTGCTCCCATTCAACCTTTCTAGTCTTATTACACATTACTGCTTTCTATGCACTCTGTAATCCAGACAAACTGATTTTCTTGCTGTTTCTCACACAAGGCACAGCTCCTTCCCTTTCCATGCTTTTGTGCTGGCTGTGCCCCCTAAAAAGCATTCCCTTCTCTCCTCTATTTCTTGGGAATCTCTGGTCTCCTTTAAGAATTAGCTCAAGTAACACCCTCTGCATGACACTTTTCCTGGTCCTCACAGCTTGCAGTGGCTCCTTTCAACCTTTCTTCCCAGGTTTCTTTGTAAATGTTTTGTATATACCTATAGAAATATAGTGTCCCCCATATTTAGAATGTAAGCTCAAGGGTATTTTTATCTTCGTATTTCTAGAGACTAGCATAGTTCCTGGCACATGAAGCACGTATCTTTTATATTTGTAGATCTTCCTTATTTTTTGGAATATAGGAAACTGCTTCCACCTCAGATGATCTAAATTCTCTGTTCATGAGAATCTTACAGCTAATATAGTTTCAGTGGTTTAGCAATCTCTTCTCTTCCTATTCCAGTCCCTAATTTCCTATTATGTATTACATATGTCTAAGTCTTTTTCTTATTCTTTTTGTTCTTAAATTAACCCAAGATTTGACTTCAAACTCAGTACTGTTTTCTATTGAGTTCTTTCTGACTCCAACCTTATTAGTCCTTATATTGTTAAATGCCATACGCCAAGGCTCCAAATCAGGCTTTCAATACCAGCTACTCTCTTTTGTCTCCTGCTGTCCAGAACAGTGCCTATCATGAGCAACTTTTTGCAGAATGCTCCTGCAGAATTAATTCTAAACTCCCACTATTCTTCTTTCCAGTTGTAAACCCATACTGGATGCTCTTGAATTTTCTCTATATCCCAATGCCATCAAAGGAACTATTCACTTAAACAAGACTGAACTTTATCAGTGTTTTTAATTGCACGAAAGTGACTTAATATTATTTACCTGTCTTGTATACGATATTGCATATTCAAGTCATTGATCACAAATGGGTTCCTGAGTTTTGCATAGGCAACTGCTTTGTCCAGTGGAAATCCTAAGATTTTAAAAGAACATGGTATTAATAAATAATATTACTAACAATATTAATATAATTTTAAAATATAATTATAATTTTTATAATAATAATATAATTTTAAATATAATTAATACGATTTTAAAAAGATAAAGACTTATGAAACCTCATACATGATCCTTAAGTAGAGTCAGAAGCTATAAAGAGCTTGACAGGTTAGAGATTTGGGCTCAATTAGCTTAAGTCAAAAGTCAAACATCCATTTCATTAGGAGAAGATGGAAGGGTCTTGGCTAGGTCACAGATCTTCAAAAATATCTGGACATTTAAATGGATTGCAAGTTTGATATAAATGGGCCGGGAGACCCTAACAGCAAAAAAAGCTAATGTGAAGTGGGGAAGAAAATGAGAGGCATAACTTCAAGAAACAGAAAGGCAGTAGTTCCATTGTATTTTGCCCTTGTCAGACTTCATCCAAAGAACTGTGTTTATTTCTCAATGCCACGGATTAGGAAGGACATTAATAACCTGGAGAGTGTCCAGGGGGTAAAGCATTTTGAGTGAGCATCTGCTGAAAGAACTGGGCATATTTAGCCAGAATAAAATACAACTTGGGGAGGGTGTCATAATTGCTGTCTTCAAGTATTTGAGGGGCTGCCTTATGGAGGAGGGATGAGACTTATTCTGTTTGCCTCTAGGAGGCAGAACCAGAAGCAATGGGTGGAAGCTGCAAAGGGGAACATTTAGACATTAATGTCAGGAGAAACTTCCTAAGAGTGGAAACTGCCCAAAAACCTTGAGAAGAGATGGGCTCCCCACAGCAAGGGTGTTTATGCACAATCTATATGACCACCTATTGTATATTACAATAGGGATGGATTCCTTTTATGTACAGGTTGGACTACTTGGCCCCTGAGGTACTTTCCAACTCTCAAATTATAGGATTCTATAGAATAGAGTTACTAAGGATGAATACTTTAAGCAATAGTGAAAGCTGGATTACATTTTCCTGTGTAGTTCCTATTTGAAGCCACACTTTTTGGTCTAATTTCAATTTTAAAAGTTATTCACCTCAGAGATTTATATCTTAATTTAAAACAAAAATCTCAAAGTGTACAGCAAGAAGTAAATTGCCTTCAAAAACACCCTTACAAACCACTGAGGTTCTCAGTACTTTTGCAATAATTCCCTGTGTCTGTATAGAAGAGATATTTTGTGACACACATGAAATAGTTCAGAACTGGTACAGGTGGATTCATGGGTCAATTAAAAAAAAAACTTTGGGGAATTTCTCTGCAAGATATAATTTCAAATACAGAGGAGACCTAGATGTGGTTATTGGATCCACTCTACATTTCAAACACACAAATCAGAGAGTAGGTTTTTGCTTGACCTATCTTGAGAGGATTTTCTAATTTATACATTACTACTAGAAGGTAGTTAGGATCAAGGAATTGCCTCTCGTATTAAATATTTTCCAGAATTGGAGAGCTTCAGATATCATCTCCTGCCCTTTCCATATTCCCTGACTGGCTCTATTTGACAAATGGCCTATTTTAAATACAAATGGATATGTCTGCTGTCTACAAAAGTTGACTAATAAATGGGAGGGGGTTATTTAGAGAAACACTGGTTTCTAGGCTTTATATACAAAGGTTACTTTTATAAAATGTACTTGGTTAACTTAGGAAAAACAATCGGAGGCAGAGCCCTGAGAAGTGTACAGAGGATATCTTATTCTCTGGCGTTACTGGATAAAAGGATAATATCATATCTTACAAAGAAAGTTCTGAAAGGTTTTGAATTAATCTATGAATCTACACATATCAATGGCTAGTGTACTCACTTAAGAAATTATTTGGTATATATTTCAGATTTACTTTCACTATATGAGTTATTTGCTTCTAAAAGAATGTAAACTCCACAAGGGCAGAGACTTTAATTTTTGTCTTTGTATCCCTAATGCCCAGTACAGTGCTTGTCACATGAGAGGCGCTCAGTAACTGGCTGCTGCCTTCAAAGTATATGTATCTAAGTTGCAATAGAGAAGCTTCCAAGACTTGTGTAATGAATGATACTGTGAGAAGAAGCCTGCAGAAAACTGAGGGCTTTCAGGGGCCTAAGTAGTATTTTCATCACTGGTGCTCATCCAAGGAATATGATACTGAAAAGTGGTTTAGGAAGTGAACAAATGGCTAAGACTACAGGGTCTCAGGATGTCTGACCACCATTTAGATAGTCATTTAATCTCTCTGAGCCTCAGTTTCTTCACCTGTACAGTAAGGGGGGGTTGGCCTTGAGGATTTATGTGGTTCCTTCCAATTCTAATCTATGATTCTATGATTTTTAATTTATTTTGGAGAAATCTGCTTTATGATCAACCTCTAATGAACATATTTTTAAAAACCTACTGAGTATAAAATAGAAATGTTTTCTGTCTTAGGAGTTAGCTTATCTTCAGCATCAAGGGGAGGGGAGGAACAGCATCAACTGTTCAATTAGGCTATTAATATTCAAAATGAAATCTTAAATCCTCACTCAATATTATTTCAGACTCAAATCTTAAGAAAATACAGGTATTTCATACAATGTAAAAATTATTACCTTTAGAATGGAAAGAAATAAGACAATCACACAGTGGCCAGTTGTCTACTGGTTCATTCAAAATAACATCCTCTTCAAATATTACTACTGTGATGTATTTAAACAAGGAAACACGTTCAAGAATTTCCTTCATTGGTTTTGATTTGGATTTTTTTGCCATAGAACATATTCCAACCACAATCTGTCTTTCTGGAGGCTAAAAATAGATACAAAAAGAAATGAAAATCCCAATTCACACTGAAAGAAATTCCAAAGCAACACAATCAATGGGAAACATTTTACAAAATCAATATTCTTGTCTTGACATAGATGCTTAATAAATACAACTTGATAATTTTGCTTTAGTATGATATACATATTATATACTACAGTAATGCATTAGTATTAGAACAGTATAGTACATTTTTTAAAAAGTTGCCTGAATACCTAAATTTCAGAGTGGTTTTGTGGTTCCAGTAAGAAAAAATATATAAATATCTTACAAGTATTATTCCTATTAGGCTTGATAGAAAACTCACTTGCTAATGCTATTTAATTTGTCAGACTTTGCTTGTCAAATGATTTACTCTTTAGCTATACAAGTTGGAGCAGACTCACACTATAAGTTATTTTAGGTGGCTAATTTCCTATTAATTTTTTTGTGGCCATTAGAAATAAAGGCAGTTGCTGTCTTCCCACTCTTTTCTAGTTTCTGTTTTTTTGGGGAAAAGAGGCTGCAGGGAGTAGGACAGGACAGGATAAATACTAGCATTACACAAGGAGATCAATACTTTTTAAGTTTATCGATCTGATTTTAAAAAATATCAGTGCTCTGGGGCAGCTAGGTGGCCCAGTGGATAGAGCACCAGCCCTAGAGTCGGAAGGACCTGAGCTCAAATCTGGCCTCAGACACATAACACTTACTAACACACACACACACACACACACACACACACACACACACACACACAC